GAACGTCGATGCCCTCGGGCCTACCAATTACATTGTGGTTAACCGCAAACCGCAGCCATCTGGGTGGTTAATGGCTACCACACTCCGCGAGCCGGGGGGGCCGCCCGTTCGGTAGTTTGCGGGGTGACGGGGTTAAGTGGCGGCACACGCCAGTTTCTGGGGGGTCCCCCGTTCGTACCACGAATGGAGCCTCCCTAAGGGTTCGTGTAATCCATTCGTGTGGTTTTCTGTTTAACTTATGTAGTGGCAAACAGTATCAATCAGTGAGTAAAAACAGCAACATGGTGATTTCCAGTCTTTTGTAACATATGTAATAAATGTAACCTTGTGTATTTTATTGTATCTTACTGTATTTTGCTACCATGTGGCTAATGGAGTTTTGCCTCTGTCCTTGGAGATAATTGGATTACTTCCCAATTATCTCCAGGATAGAAGACTCTGTGGAACTGGTTTTGGGCAGAAAAGCCATGCTTCATTTGGTCACAAAGGACTTCGATCTATCTTTTGAACCAATGGACCAATTTGGACGATTTTGACATATGTTTGTATTTGGAGTATGCTGATTCTGAAATGTTTTATGTGAATGTGATGCATACTTTTCAAGTTATGAATAATGTGGAAAAACAATTTCTCTGGCTGTGATAATTACATCACCCATTGTGTAAGGTAATTGTATCACAGGCAGAGGGGAGGATTTTGTGTGGGAGTGTCTGAGTGTTTATTGGTTGTTTTCCAAAACCCTGTGGGTGGTACTAATGTGTAAGAATGTGTACATAAGAACAATAAACCCACAGCTCTGTCTGTTCCTGCTTGACCCTCAAAACGGAGCCTTGTCTCGTTCTTGGTGGGATTTATTGTATGCTGTTCCAGTTTGACTGCTAGGAGTGTAAACCTATTCATATGGTTTTTCCTATTCGGCTGTTTACAGCATTCGTATGGTTCCGGTTCAGCTGTTTCCAGCATTCATATGCTTCCCCGGTTCGGTGGATTGGTGTCTACAGTAGCTGCCTGTGTCTCTGGAAGGGGAAGATCTTCTAAACAGCGGTTTAACCCCTTTTATGCCTGGGGGTGCCATTACAAGAAGGTTTTAACTAATAGTGTTGGGTGAGAAGGTCTTAACTAGCAGTGTTGGGTGAGACGGTTTTAACTAGCAGTGTTGGGTGAGAAGGTTTTAACTATTAGTGTCGAGTGAGAAGGTCTTAACTAGCAGTGTTGGGTGAGGAGGTCTTAACTAGCAGTGTTGGGTGAAAAGGTTTTAACTAATAGTGTTGGGTGAGACTGTCTTAACTAGCAGTGTTTGGTGAGAAGGTCTTAACTAGCAGTTGTAAAGGACCGTTTTGCACACAAGGGGTAAAAAACGTTTAGGCGATCGGCCCCCTTTCCAGAGATACAGGCACAGCTACTGCAGAACATCAAACTCCCGAACTGGATACAAAATAGCACTCCAACTCCCGAACTGGAACCTCCCAAATAGCTGCTAGCAGACGAACAGGAAAAGCAGACAATCAGCTTACACTCCTGGCAATCAGTCTCTAACAGCATACAGTGAATCCCCCCAAGAACGAGACAAGGCTCCGTGTTGAGGGTCAAGCAGTGGTCTGAGGTGCTGGCACACCCAGCCTGGTTTTTATTACAGTCTTGCAAATACAGGACCGCCCACAGGGAGGTATAAAACAACCAATCACATCACAGTTACATCCCACATATTCCCTCCCCTTATCCTGAGAGGAAACTCAATTACACATACAGTTAAAACATACTTTCTACCCAACTTTCATAACTCTAAAACCATACATCACATTCACATAAAATTACATATTCACAATCAATCCATTCAGGGGAACAACATATTAAAAAATGGCATGAATCAGACCAGGGGTTCAAAAGTTTGTAAAAAGTCCTTTGTGACTAAATGAAGCATGGCTTTCTGGCCCAAACCAGTTTCAGAGTCTTCTATCCTGGAGAGTAATTCAATTATCTCCCAGGACAGACACAAGACTCCATTAAGCACATGGTTGCAAAAAGACACAAAACACTTTAAAATACATAAAGTCACATTTATTACATAAAACACAGACATGTAACATATCCCCAGATAGCTCAGGTCTGAGCGCACATTATTAAGTGAATGGCGCTCAGACCACACGAATACAGTTTAATCGCCATGGAGCCAAAGTCTTTACAGTCAGTTTCATACGAATGGGCTCCATGGGATTCCTATCTGGGGTATAACACATTCAAACAAATCTACCGAACCCCAGGCAGAAAAGCATGAATGAAGCTTTTCTGCAGGTAAAAAAGATGTCTTTTAACAGGGGGCCATAGTCCAGAGGCAGCAGGCGAGCAACCAGGCTTCTCCAATGCAATGTGGCGAGATTGGTCTCGTCACATCTCTCCCCTTTTCCAAACAGACTAACAGGGTATCTGACCTCCTGCCGGTCAGTGCCCTTGTTAGTCCAGCAGCCCACCCACAAAACATAATCAACAGCACAGCCCACCCACAATAAATGGTTACTACACCTGGGTAAAGGAGAAGCTTGTCCATGTCCAGGTGCCTCACCACGGCTGTGCTGGGTACGGGTACGCTGACTGGGTGGGTTGCTGCGTGGGCAGAGACCAGCGGCACTCTGCCCTGTTGCCAGCGCTACTGGGAGGGTAGCCTGGTTGAAGCCTGGTTGTTGGAGGGGGAGACCGACTGTCTCCCCTTTAACTACACCGCTCTGCTGCTGGAGACCGACTGTCTCCCATTTAGATACACCGCTCTGCTGCTGGAGACCGACTGTCTCCCCTTTGGATACTCTAAGCTGTCGCTGGGGAGAGGGGGTAACAGGCTCCTCTCCCGATAGAACACTCTGCCACTGCGGAAAGGAGACTGAGCTCTCTATTCCCTGCCCATTAATGATCCGCTGCTGGGTAGAGGTGGTAGCAAGCTCCTCTCCCATACATACTTTCATCCTCTGTGGAGGGAGACCGACTGTCTCCGCTCCCAATACAGTGTCCTGCTGCTGGGGAAAGGAGACTGGGCTCTCTATTCCCGGTAGGACACTCTGCCGCTGGGGAATGGAGACTGGGCTCCCAATTCCCTGCTGTACTCCCGCTGGGGAATGGAGACTGGGCTCCCAATTTCCAAAAAATCACGCTGCTGCTGGGGGGCAGGAACAACTACCTCTGCCCCCTGTAGCTCAGCCTGCCGCTGGGGAGGGAGGACGCTGCTCTCCTCTCCCTGCACTTTACACTGCCTTCCGGGCATATCACTCTGCTGCTGGGGGGCAGGAACAACTACCTCTGCCCCCTGTAACTCAGCCTGCCGGCTGGGGAGGGAGGACGCTGCTCTCCTCTCCCTGCACTTCACTGCCTTCCCGGCATATCACTCTGCTGCTGGGGGCAGGAACAACTACCTCTGCCCCCTGTAACTCAGCCTGCCGCTGGGGAGGGAGGACGCTGCTCTCCTCTCCCTGCACTTCACACTGCCTTCCCGGCATATCACTCTGCTGCTGGGGGGCAGGAACAACTACCTCTGACCCCTGTAACTCAGCCTGCCGCTGGGGAGGGAGGACGCTGCTCTCCTCTCCCTGCACTTTACACTGCCGCTGGGGAATGGAGACTGGGCTCCCAATTCCTGGCATATCACACTGCCGCTGGGGAATGGAGACTGGGCTCCCAATTCCCTGCATATCACACTGCCGCTGGGGAATGGAGACTGGGCTCCCAATTCCCTGCATATCACACTGCCGCTGGGGAATGGAGACTGGGCTCCCAATTCCCTGCATATCACACTGCCGCTGGGGAGAGGAGACTGGGCTCTCTCTGTCCCGCAACTGTAGCTGCCGGTGGAGGTCCACCCACCGTGGCAGCTGACCGTCACCCTCTGTCCGGTACAGCAGAGTCTTGAATACTAGACTCCTCACGAACTTCACAGATTTCTCAGCTGGATTAGGCCCGTAGAAGTTCAGCCGCAACCACATCATACGGTCAAATTCCTGTACAGAGTATCTGTACTCCACTGCTGGTTCCATTCTGTTGCTGTCAGGGTCGCTGTACTGAGACATGCGTTGCCCTCAAATTGTAAAATCCACAGAATGGTGTCTCCTGTAGCTGTCCTTCTGGCTGTAGGAACGATCCCGCCGCTTGCCACCAATTGTAACGGACCGTTTTGCACACAAGGGGTAAAAACCGTTTAGGCGATCGGCCCCCTTTCCAGAGATACAGGCACAGCTACTGCAGAACATCAAACTCCCATACTGGATACAAAATAGCACTCCAACTCCCGAACTGGAACCTCCCAAATAGCTGCTAGCAGACGAACAGGAAAAACAGACAATCAGCTTACACTCCTGGCAATCAGTCTCTAACAGCATACAGTGAATCCCCCCAAGAGCGAGACAAGGCTCCGTGTTGAGGGTCAAGCAGTGGTCTGAGGTGCTGGCACACCCAGCCTGGTTTTTATTACAGTCTTGCAAATACAGGACCGCCCACAGGGAGGTATAAAACAACCAATCACATCACAGTTACATCCCACATATTCCCTCCCCTTATCCTGAGAGGAAACTCAATTATACATACAGTTAAAACATACTTTCTACCCAACTTTCATAACTCTAAAACCATACATCACATTCACATAAAATTACATATTCACAATCAATCCATTCAGGGGAACAACATATTAAAAAATGGCACGAATCAGACCAGGGGTTCAAAAGTTAGGAAAGTCCTTTGTGACTAAATGAAGCATGGCTTTCTGGCCCAAACCAGTTTCAGAGTCTTCTATCCTGGAGATAAGTAATTCAATTATCTCCCAGGACAGACACAAGACTCCATTAAGCACATGGTTGCAAAAGACACAAAACACTTTAAAATACATAAAGTCACATTTATTACATAAAACACAGACATGTAACATATCCCCAGATAGCTCAGGTCTGAGCGCACATTATTAAGTGAATGGCGCTCAGACCACACGAATACAGTTTAATCGCCATGGAGCCAAAGTCTTTACAGTCAGTTTCATACAAATGGGCTCCATGGGATTCCTATCTGGGGTATAACACATTCAAACAAATCTACCGAACCCCAGGCAGAAAAGCATGAATGAAGCTTTTCTGCAGGTAAAAAAGATGTCTTTTAACAGGGGGCCATAGTCCAGAGGCAGCAGGCGAGCAACCAGGCTTCTCCAATGCAATGTGGCGAGATTGGTCTCGTCACAGCAGTGTTGGGTGAGAAGGTTTTAACTATTATCCTCAGTCCGTGTTTGGCTTATTTTATGGTAACAATGTCTTGTTTTATAATATGTCGCTCTCATCCCTCCATCTTACCATATTCTCACTCCTTTAATATGTACAGCCAATATAAAATTTTCCTGCATGTTGTACATCTAATAATGAGGTTTAAAACATAATTAAAAACCATTATATAATATAAACAGTAAAACACTTTATTGATTTATTTGTAATTAGCTTACACATTCAGTTTGTGTTGCCTAATATATGATTGATCCTAACGCATTCTGACCCGTTCAACACAATAAACGGAAGAACAGAGACTAACAATAAACACAAAATACAAAAGAAATGTTATATCAGGACCTTCCAATAGCTTAATATAAGTTACATATAAATCCTAGCTGGCATAAATATCATATTTTATTTTAGAATTAGGGTTAGATGGCTACATACTGACTCCTTCCCAAATCATGTCAATCCGTGAGAGTCGATTGTTTCTATACTATGAGCTGGTGAGACTGAGATTATACAAAGTATCGAGTGACTCACAACACATCGGCGAGAATTTAAATCTTGTATTGCAATACGGGGTGCTGGCCAGCTCTGCAAACAAGCAGTAGCGTTTTTTAGTATCCTGTACATAGTCTCCTTCAAGTCTCGGACATTAGAGGACACTGTAGTCACCCAGATCATCTCAATGCACTGTCCCTGCAATGTAAAACTGATGTTTTGAGAAACTGCATTGTTGACATTGCAGGGTTAAGTCCACCTTTAGTGGCTGTCACAACGTCAGCCACGAGAGGCACGTCCGCAGCACTGACCGAGTAAAACTCACATGACACTGTAGACCCACAGGGGAGCATTATTCAATTCTTTCCTATGGGGAAGTTTCAATGTACAGCACTCACCGCGCATGTGCTTTAAATCCCCCAAATGCTCTTCTGTGAGGATCATTGAATTGGACATATTTGGAGGAGGCCATGCTTGCTCCATGACTGGCCAGAGGCAGAGAGGTACACAGCGCCAAGGGAGCCTCGCACTGGATAAAGGTAAGTCAGTTCTGAAATTGTTTTACTTTATAACGTACCCGATGGGGGGGGGGGGACATTAATAGAAGCAGGGATACTATAGTGTTATATAGAGTTACTAACTATATAGTGTTCTTTTAAAGGGACACAATTGTCACCAAAACAACTACAGCCTAATGTACAATATACAGCTTAATGCTCTGTGTACAGCTACAGCTTAATGTACGGTATACAGCTTAATGTACAGTATACAGGTTAAGGTTCTGTATACAGCTTAATATATAGTATACAGCGTAATGTACGATATACAGCTTAATGTTCTGTATACAGTTTAATATATAGTATACAGCTTAATGTACGGTATACAGGTTAATCTTCTGTATACAGCTTAATATATAGTATACAGCTTAATATATAGTATACAGCTTGATGTACAGTATACAGCATAATGTAGGGGTTCTGGTGTCTATAGCCTGTCCCTGCAGGTTTTTTAATGTAAGCACTGTTTTTCAGAGTAAAGGCAGCATTTGCATTGCTCCCTACTAACACCTCTAGGTGCAGTCACTCATAGCCACCAGAGGTACTTCCTGGGTCAGTGCACGGTGTGCAGCGTCTTCACGCTTTGCATGGGGACACTGAATGTTCCTCATAGAGATACATTGATTTAATATATCTCTTTGAGGAGATGCTGATTGGCGCAGCGTGGTATTTTGGCGCGCATGCACAACAGCCTTCCAGTGTGTCCTACGGGAAGTCATTGGATTGGCTGAGATAGTCAATTTTGATGTTCTTAGCCAAGGAGGCGGATCGGGGGCAGCCGTGATGCTCTGTGTGCTGCAGGAAAAAAGGAGCGTAAACTTTCACTTAGCTGACAGAGGGGCTGGGGGCCTAACCATCACTTTTTACAGCTATAGTGACAGGAATACATGTTTGTGTTTCTGTCACTGTAGTATTCCTTTAAATCACTTAATTTGCCACAAACAATCATATAGTACTACATGTTTTTAATCTGTCTTTAAAATAAATTACTATTATGATATGATTAAATCAGTTTTTTCACATAAAATATGGACACATTTATGACCTTTCTTGATTAAGGTCCAATGATAGACGAATTGTGATCCAAAACAACGAGGTTAACTAAGATGTGCAATATGTTCTCGATATTTATCTTACAATATATTAAAAGGTTATTGGATTGAGTGTCATAATGGTAACAAAGAAGATGAAAATGGCCTTTCCACTCTCATTTTCCAGTCCCGGGACAATATATGAGAAAATTTAACTTAGAACACATCAGATCTTTTCTCCAGACTGTATCAAACAAGGAATAGATATTATGATCTGGCACTAAAACAAATAATTATGAGAAACTCGCTCATTGACTGGTTTCCTGCCTTCCGTGATCCATCAGGTGTCCGTATTTCACATTTATGTATAAATCTTGTTTCTGCTTTTTCCAATGTGTGTCCACTTTGCTGGGAAAACAGAATAAACCATGTCCAGTGATGCAAAACAAAACAAGCAACATTTAAAACAATTGCAGACGTAGCACTAATGTCATTGTTTCAGCCCCACTCCCATTGTGCATTTAAATCTATAGTGTTTGTTCTATGTGCATCGTCAAGCAAGTCGGTGGGATCAACATCTTCAAAACCCGATTTAATGGGAGAATAATAAAAGTGGCTTTAAATATGTCCTGGTTAAACATTTTATTTTCGCACTAATACTATACTCGTGGTCTGTGTAGAACTAAACCCTAAAGGCATTGTCTACATTACTTTAATTCTACGACTCTAATGACATTTTGCTCAGAGTCACTATAACTTTTCTGTAAGGATTGTCTTCACTGTCTTTGAAGAATAGGACTGAGCATTCTTCACGATCTTCATTGCTGCTGCCCACTGTAGCGATTGATGAGACAGTGGTTATACTCGGTGATATGTTGGCTAATTCGATGGGCATGGAGCTTGTAGATTCAACTTGAGTGAGTCCATTGGGTGTTAAACCTGAAGATACTTCACTGGATTCATGCATTGGCACAGAGGTCAGAGATTTGATGTTGGTGAAACCATTTGGCATTGAGTTTGTAGATGCAACGCTCTTGAATCCATCATGCACTGAGCTGGAAAAGGGGTCGTTGGATAATACATTGGGCATTGAGCTTGTAGATGCAACATTGGGCAAGTCATTGGACATGGAGTTTACAGATGCAACCTCAAATATGAATTTTGGTCTTGGACTTATAGGGGCGCTACCTGGCTGAGCATTGATGTCCAGTTGCTTTGCACTGCAAAAAGGCGCGTAGTACTCTGTCATTTCCTCAAACTGCTCATAATCAACTTTATAGTATTTTTTCTTGGTCAGCAAGATATTGTTAAATCTGAAACCCCAGAGGATTTCATGTGGCAAATACGATGTTCGCGACTGATGGGATGTTCCAGTGGAGTCACCGGTGTAAATAAATGTGACCAAAATCTCAAATCTGTCTGCTGCCAGAGCTTTGCGATCTAGAGCATACAAAGGACTATCTTGGTCAATAACATGAACAACAGTGACTGGGGTGACAAGTATTATCTGGTCATTGACCAACGTGAGGTCCTTGTAATCCATGGTGATGCCTTTGTCATGATCTTCATTATAACGTAAGAGCTGTGCCCTTACGTTTCCTTCCACTACATGGTTAGGCCGAAAGTCACCAATGCGCCACATAAGGCACAATTTACCATCCCTCACGCCAACAACAGCAAAGTAGCTGAACCTGATGGTCTGAGCTCTTTTTCGGGCAGTTGCCATTTTTGCCATTGCTGCTCCAATAATGAACGTATCGATAATGCAGCTTAGGACTGATTGGAAATTCACCAGAATAATTGCTAAATAACATTCCTCTGTCACACAACGGTTACCATACCCAATAGTTGTCTGGGTCTCCAGAGAGAAAAGGAATGCTCCTGCAAATGTGCGCACATTATCGACACACGGTGTGATGTCAGGGTTACTTAAATCTCCGTGCTGAAGAGCAATGATCCAAAATATAAATCCAAAAAGCAGCCATGACAGAACATACGATAAGGAGAATATGATAAACATACTTCGCCACTTCATATCCACCAACGTGGTGAAGATGTCAGTTACGTAACTTTCCCATTCGCTTAGTATGTTTCTGAAATAAACATTGCAGCTTCCATCTTTCTGCATGAAACGTCTCTGGAAGCTTTTCCTGTTCACTGTGCTGTAATAATACCAGCTGTTCTCCTTCACGTTGACTAATCTCAAGGTATCTCCACTCTGGAACATCTTGACATCTACCAAGAACTCCAACTAGGATTCCAAATTAATTTCCCCAAAGAAGAGAACACCTGCACAAACAAAAATAGATTAAAAAAAATACTGAAATAAAAACATAACAGCATTTCATTCAGTTACACCAAGAAGCAAAGTTTCTCTCTTAAATTGATTTTAACTGAATTTAATAAGCAAAAGCATCAAGCGATTGAAAAATAAGTAATTAAATAGTTTCTCCAGCCAACATGTGAGTTAATTGTAAATTGATATAATCACTGCAAGCTTCTCACCTGGGCAAATGGAGGAGAAGGCTGATCAACACATAGACGTTCTCTACAATCAGAGGTGGGGGGACATAGCTGGGGACCCTGATTCAACCCAAAAAAACAGGGAAAAACTTTGTGTATGATAAATATTGTCTTTAAAGGGTTACTCCAAGCATCATAACCATTGCTGGTAATGGGGCAAACTGTTACCTGGTTCCCAGCCGGGTGCTGGGGGACACATTATCGGCTTCTGCAGAGCTGGGGAAGCCAACCCAGTTGTTATTCTTTGGCTAAGAGCACAGGCTGACCACTCTCAGACAATGAATTGCACAGAATTGACACCAGCCAACCTCTGACAACCAAGGTGTTAAACTCTGTATGTGCGGCATTTTATAGCCAAACACTGCACATAAATACTTCAGGCACCATCACCACTTCAAATCACTGAAGTGTTTTAATGATGCTTGGAGTAATTCTTTAAGTGATTTGTGGGAGATCTACAGTGAGGGCTGGAAATTACGCATATAAAATAGAGGACTGCAGGCCAATAAAATAGTATTGTTAGGTACTCCGACTTATTATGAACCCTGATAGATCAAAGGGAGGACCCAACGTTTATTAATCTGCTCATAAGCACACTTAGGGACGTTGGATGTTTTGGATCAAGAGACCTCGGCTTCCTCTGTATGAAGACAAGAATGGGACAAACCCAAGCACAAAGACAGAGATTATGCAAAGAAACTAAATGAAACACCATCCAACCCAGAAGTGGAGCACCCCCTATACCATGGTAATTAGCAGCTGTATCTAGAGTCCTTGGTGAAATACAGTTAGCTCCCAATTATAGGTAAGTACAATCATTTTAGTTAACTCCTATTACGGGAACTAATGAAAAGAATGATTAGTGACAAAGTCATCCAGCTTCACGTTCCCTTTCCTGGCAGTCAGCGGAACGCACCAGGTATCTGCCATGGGATCTGGCTTTTGGCAATCTTTATCTCCTACAATGAACGGGGCTAGGACTGGGATTATTTCATTTTTTTTAATTGTGTTTGTTTTCTTAGTTTTTCTGTTTTTCTTTGGAAGATATTCCTTCAAATTTTAATGATAACTTCTCATTCGCACATATTGCAGTGTTTGAAAATGCACAAAATCTCTTAGTTTGCTTGTGAAAGTCTACCATTGTTTATTACGCTGTTAATTATTATTTTATATTACTCGGCCTGTTTTCCGAATATGTATTGATGAATCATTTCTTAATTGGTTGTTTAATGATTTTTTTTCTCTGCAATTATTAAATAGAATTGTGCACTAAGAAAAACTTGATTAGTCCGAAAAGATAAAATGAGTTTTGGTGCTCCGAAATGTGTTCATATGGCGCTTCGGAGTAATTTTGGCTACGCAATCGTTTTTGGAGAAGCGATTCAGACAAAAGAAAATGGCACAAAGATTGGCCAATCAGTGTGCTGCAAAATATAAATATTATATATATACTTTACAGAGCCCTGAGAGGGGCATTTACCAATATGCAGTAATCAATAGAGGGGAAAATAATGCCGAGCAGTAAAAAAACAAAATTCTATAGTTATATGTTTTATTTTTATATATTATATGTAAATATAGATTTTAGATTTTTTTTTCACTGCTTCCTTTTTCCCTTCTGTTGGTCACTTCTCACTTGATCTGTGAATAAAATCATGCTCTTTTCCCCAGCAATCCTCTCTTTTTGCCGCCACAGACAGTTCGTTCATTGTCTGTAACATTTGTTTCGTGATTTGGTCATACAGCGATTTGGGGTCCCGGAATTTGTATGAACCGCTGACGAACAAAATTGGAAAACGCATTCGAATGTGAGAGACTCAACTGCTTGAAAAAATGCTGCCTACCAATTACTAATCGCGGTGTCTCTGTTTACTCCACGCTAAATGGGAAAAAGTGGTAAAGAGACATTTGAAAAGCATTTTGAATCGAATACGGAATTTGTTGTTTTTTTGTTTAGCGATTTAAACATCAGTTCTTAATTAAATAGAAGTAAACAAAATAAAACTTAGAAACAGCCACAAACAATGGGAACATAAAGCTAGTTAAATCTAGAGCTACTGGTTGTCTCCGCTGTCTGTGACTGGAGGCAGAAAATGTACTTCAATATATTCTCATGTGATTTATTTGGTAAACTAAACATGTGAAAAGATTCACAGAAATCATTTGCCATTGAAGATGCCGGTTCATCACTGTCTTAACAGTAAAAATATTTGGATTTTCATTGTGAAAAATATTGTGTTAAACAACATAGAGGAGAAGAACGGCAGGTTGGAGAGAACGTTTTATCCTTATAAATGTCAGAATTTGCAGCTGCACAGCTCACCGAGACTTGGACCAAATTTAGCATCGTAGCGGAAAACAGAACAAAAAGGGTTCCGGGTGCAAGGTGTGGGAACACCTGATGGGGCTCAGTCCACAACCAACAGAAAAAAGCTGCCATTTGTTATGTTTGCCATTGTAATAGCTATTTGGATTTATTCAGAACTGCGTGCTCTTGGAAATAATCCATCACTAGATGCGGCAATGTAAGGAGCCTTGATACCAAAAGTCTAGCTCGAATCTCCACTAACTGCTCCAGACACATTATGGGCTTCGTAAAAGTATCGCTTGTCTAGATTACAGCTGATATATACCGTAAGTCATTACTTATCGGAATCCCATCATTTCCCGACAGTAAAAATGGTGAGAATTGTTAATGCTATATTTTGAGATTTTTTGTATTAATATGTTAATTTAATTATAGCGCTATTTATAAATAAATAAAAAAAACTTGAAACATTAATATCTTGGCATCCATAAAGTATTTTTTCATAATTAACAGAGCCTGCATAGAGTGTGTTCAATATAAAAAAAAAAAAGGTAATTCATTAAACGTCATGATAAGTTGTTTCCTAAAATGCATCTGAAAATGTGGGTTCAATAAAGTTACAAAGCTGGATCTTACTCCGAGAAGAAGAACTTCACATTGGGAACAGAAAAGAAGACAGATATATGGATAATAGGGAGGGAGAACACGAATCGCCGGACCGGGAATTGAAAACCTCAAATAAAGAGCTGAAGATGCAAATAGCAGAATAGAAGAATTTCAATTTAAACATTAAGGGCTCAGACGTAAATAGCAGAGAGCGGCAGACACTTACACAAACTTGAAAGTCATGCGACCAGGCAGCAATTTGCACTAAAATATCTCAAAACAACAAACACAGTGACATTTAATTCTTTTAAGTGAAAGCAGGCGCCATAAAAAGTCCGGACAGCGTGCTGAAGGTTGACGCGGTAATAAGTAACAGAAGAAAATAGTTTAGCTGAATATTTAGGTTTTTTCTTCTTTTTTTTAAAATCTACTCTGAGATTCCAAAGGATTAACACATTACGGTTCTACACAGCGGGCTTCTAATTAACCCATTCCTTACGGAGCCTCGCCAAGTTCAGAACGAATTCAACAATAAGTATTAATTGAAAAAATAACAATGAGACAATGAGAGCTTATTATCACGACTCTCTTGGAGTTTTTATGTCAAGTATAAAGTACAGGGTAAAATACTGCTTCATTCATTATTTTATGATAATGCAAACTGACTAGTGAAAATATTCAATGTGTTTAATTAAGTGGTAAACGCACTGCATATCGTTAGAGATCGTTTTTGGTCAGTGAACGGGCTACTGCTTCGGACTGTACGACTCACAACAGTGTCTGATCCTGCCAGGTATAAAACGTTATCCAGTTATAAACACTGTGAAACCGCTGATACAAAGAACTACTGGTTTCACTAATTACTACTTTCACTAATTACTACTTTCACTAATGAAAGGCTTGCTCTAAGCACCATAAGCACTTTTAGTTGTAGCAAAGATCTTGGTACTTTGAGCCTCATGAGATCTGGTTATAGCAGCAACAATGTGTAAAACGTGTTCTATGGTGATAAACTATGTATCCCATAATCCCCTGCTGTTCCGGAGTGTACCATGTCTTCCTGGTGAGCGAGGAGCCTAAATGTCATTTTTAATTTTAATTTATTTAAGTTAGGGGTAGAGGGCAATATTAATAATGCATAATCTATATAATGCAGTCAAAAATATAAGGTTGAATTTTTCCAACAAATTCCCAAAATCAAGAATAATTGCACCCGCCAAACAACTGTCTTTTAAAATCCTTCAACAGAACAAAAACACACAGAACGCACAAGCTTGTTCTAATATTAAATAATATTTGCCTTGTCATGCAGTCTCGGCGTGAAAGCGGGGGTTTATGTGCGCTTGTGGAATAATTCTACCCTTGTCACCCGCCATGACGCGAAGCCAATCAAACTGCTGGATGCACAAAGGGTGCCGTCACCAGTGACTCCGATTATATCACGAATCCACCTCCATGCTGTTTGTAGATTAATGCAGTGATTGTTTCTATTTCACAAACAACTTACATGATAAATGAGTAACAACGTACCAATAACCATAACCATCTCACTTACAGCAAGAAAACTGCGCCAATCACTGCACCCCCAGCTCAGCTTTACTTCTTTATTAACATCATGTTTTGTATCAACATCAATGTTTTTATTACTTCTGTTTTGTCAGATGACCAGTTCATCCTGTAATTATCAGTTTTGATTACATCCTTGAACATTATTTATTGATGTGATTATTGTTTGAAACATGTAAATTGAAGGAGTTTTTATAACGGGCATCCATTACTAAATCTCGATGTCCTGCAGGAAAGGGATAACAGGAAGACAACTGCTTCCAATTCTGTGATTATTGACCGCCACGAACTTATTGATCTTTTGCCGTATCAAAACATGAACTATAGGGGAATGCACCTCTCTGGCAGCGCTGTAAAAGTGGAGCAATTAGAGGGATCTCTATGGCAACTGCTCCGTGTTTGAAACTTTGCAGTACAATAGCTATTTATACAGCAATCCTGTGATCGCACCCCCTCGTCCCAACAGCCGAGTATCAGGTGTTGTGGACAGGTAGATACGGCACTTTGGGATATATACCGTCAGCTGTAGAGCATTCTATGAGCTTAGCTCAATAACTATTTATACTGTACGTAATAAAAAGGACTAACAGGGCCTCTCCTAGGAGGCACTGACTTGAAAGGACAGTCTATAAATGTTTAAATTCCCTGAGGCTTATTCCCTTCTCAGAATTCAACACAAAAATACAGAAACGAACAGCACAGACGCTGTGAGTGTGTCTCACCTGAGGAAGATTTGTTTAGATAAAATTCAGGTTAAAGTGTATCTCTGTTCCCCTCGCCGGCTGTGGCTGTCTGATAGTGTGCTCAGCTGTCTCAGTTCTGTAATAATGTCACAATAAACAAGCTGGGAATTACTGTCAGGTGTGGCTCAGGTAAGGAGAGTAAATGCTACGTCTGCAGTAAAGTGTCACTGCGGTCAGTGTGAGTGTGCAAATCATTGCTCTAACTAAAACAATTCCCTCTGAATACAATGAACCAGGCAGCAGCTTTATCTAAAGCTTTTATATACTTGGCTGCGTTCCCAGGTAGTCAGAAACAGGTTTAATATCTGCAGATAGGTATTTATACACCTGTACAGTGCATATACTGAGCAAATAGGTATATATACACCTGTACAGTGCCTATACTGAGCAAATAGGTATATATACACCTGTACAGTGCCTATACTGAGCAAATAGGTATATATACACCTGTACAGTGCCTATACTGAGCAAATAGGTATATATACACCTGTACAGTGCTTATACTGAGCAAATAGGTATATATACACCTGTACAGTGCCTATACTGAGCAAATAGGTATATATACACCTGTACAGTGCCTATACTGAGCAAATAGGTATATATACACCTGTACAGTGCTTATACTGAGCAAATAGGTATATATACACCTGTACAGTGCCTATACTGAGCAAATAGGTATATATACACCTGTACAGTGCCTATACTGAGCAAATAGGTATATATACACCTGTACAGTGCCTATACTGAGCAAATAGGTATATATACACCTGTACAGTGCTTATACTGAACAAATAGGTATATATACACCTGTACAGTGCCTATACTGAGCAAATAGGTATATATACACCTGTACAGTGCTTATACTGAGCAAATAGGTATATTTATATACACCTGTACAGTGCCTATACTGAGCAAATAGGTATATATACACCTGTACAGTGCATATACTGAGCAAATAGGTATATATACACCTGTACAGTGCATATACTGAGCAAATAGGTATATTTATATACACCTGTAAAGTGCATATACTGAGCAAATAGGTATATATACACCTGTACAGTGCTTATACTGAACAAATAGGTATATATACACCTGTACAGTGCATATACTGAACAAATAGGTATATATACACCTGTACAGAGCTTATGCTGAGCAAATAGGTATATATACACCTGTGCAGTGCCTATACTTGGCAAATAGGTATATATACACCTGTGCAGTGCCTATACTGAGCAAATATGTATATATACACCTGTGCAGTGCTTATACTGAGCAAATAGGTATATATACACCTGTACAGTGCATATACTGAGCAAATAGGTATATACACCTGTACAGTGCCTATACTGAGCAAATAGGTATATATACACCTGTACAGTGCCTATACTGGGCAAATAGGTATATATACACCTGTGCAGTGCATATACTGGGCAAATAGGTATATACACCTGTGCAGTGCATATACTGGGCAAATAGGTATATACACCTGTGCAGTGCTTATACTGAGCAAATATGTATATATACACCTGTACAGTGCCTATACTGAGCAAATAGGTATATTTATATACACCTGTACAGTGCCTATACTGAGCAAAAAGGTATATATACACCTGTACAGTGCATATACTGAGCAAATAGGTATATATACACCTGTACAGTGCTTATACTGAGCAAATAGGTATATATACACCTGTACAGTGCCTATACTGAGCAAATAGGTATATATACACCTGTACAGTGCATATACTGAGCAAATAGGTATATATACACATGTACAGTGCTTATACTGAGCAAATAGGTATATTTATATACACCTGTACAGTGCCTATACTGAGCAAATAGGTATATATACACCTGTACAGTGCCTATACTGAGTAAATAGGTATATATACACCTGTACAGTGCCTATACTGAGCAAATAGGTATATATACACCTGTACAGTGCTTATACTGAACAAATAGGTATATAAACACCTGTACAGTGCCTATACTGAGCAAATAGGTATATATACACCTGTACAGTGCTTATACTGAGCAAATAGGTATATTTATATACACCTGTACAGTGCCTATACTGAGCAAATAGGTATATATACACCTGTACAGTGCATATACTGAGCAAATAGGTATATATACACCTGTACAGTGCATATACTGAGCAAATAGGTATATTTATATACACCTGTACAGTGCATATACTGAGCAAATAGGTATATATACACCTGTAAAGTGCATATACTGAGCAAATAGGTATATATACACCTGTACAGTGCTTATACTGAACAAATAGGTATATATACACCTGTACAGTGCATATACTGAACAAATAGGTATATATACACCTGTACAGAGCTTATGCTGAGCAAATAGGTATATATACACCTGTGCAGTGCCTATACTTGGCAAATAGGTATATATACACCTGTGCAGTGCCTATACTGAGCAAATATGTATATATACACCTGTGCAGTGCTTATACTGAGCAAATAGGTATATATACACCTGTACAGTGCATATACTGAGCAAATAGGTATATACACCTGTACAGTGCCTATACTGAGCAAATAGGTATATATACACCTGTACAGTGCCTATACTGGGCAAATAGGTATATATACACCTGTGCAGTGCATATACTGGGCAAATAGGTATATACACCTGTGCAGTGCATATACTGGGCAAATAGGTATATACACCTGTGCAGTGCTTATACTGAGCAAATAGGTATATATACACCTGTACAGTGCATATACTGAGCAAATAGGTATATACACCTGTACAGTGCCTATACTGAGCAAATAGGTATATATACACCTGTGCAGTGCCTATACTGAGCAAATATGTATATATACACCTGTGCAGTGCTTATACTGAGCAAATAGGTATATATACACCTGTACAGTGCATATACTGAGCAAATAGGTATATACACCTGTACAGTGCCTATACTGAGCAAATAGGTATATATACACCTGTACAGTGCCTATACTGGGCAAATAGGTATATATACACCTGTGCAGTGCCTATACTGAGCAAATAGGTATATATACACCTGTACAGTGCATATACTGGGCAAATAGGTATATACACCTGTGCAGTGCTTATACTGAGCAAATAGGTATATATACACCTGTACAGTGCATATACTGAGCAAATAGGTATATACACCTGTACAGTGCCTATACTGAGCAAATAGGTATATATACACCTGTACAGTGCATATACTGAGCAAATAGGTATATATACACCTGTACAGTGCTTATACTGAACACATAGGTATATATACACCTGTACAGTGCCTATACTGAGCAAATAGGTCTATATACACCTGTACAGTGCTTATACTGAACAAATAGGCATATATACACCTATACAGTGCATATACTGAGCAAATAGGTATATATACACCTGTACAGTGATTATACTGAAAAAATAGGTATATATACACCTGTACAGTGCCTATACTGAGCAAATAGGTATATATACACCTGTACAGTGCATATACTGAGCAAATAGATATATTTATATACACCTGTACAGTGCCTATACTGAGCAAATAGGTATATATACACCTGTACAGTGCCTATACTGAGCAAATAGGTATATATACACCTGTACAGTGCTTATACTGAACAAATAGGTATATATATATACACCTGTACAGTGCATATACGGAGCAAATAGGTATGTATACACCTGTACAGTGACTATACTGAGCAAATAGGTATATATACACCTGTACAGTGCTTATACTGAACAAATAGGTATATATACACCTGTACAGTGCTTATACTGAGCAAATAGGTATATTTATATACACCTGTACAGTGCCTATACTGGGCAAATAGGTATATATACACCTGTACAGTGCTTATACTGAGCAAATAGGTATATATACACCTGTACAGTGCTTATACTGAACAAATAGGTATATATACACCTGTACAGTGCTTATACTGAGCAAATAGGTATATATACACCTGTAGAGTGCCTATACTGGGCAAATAGGTATATATACACCTATACAGGTGTATACTGAGCAAATAGGTATATATACACCTGTATAGTGCCTATACTGAGCAAATAGGTATATATACACCTGTACAGTGCCTATACTGGGCAAATAGGTATATATACACCTGTACAGTGCATATACTGAGCAAATAGGTATGTATACACCTGTACAGTGCCTATACTGAGCAAATAGGTCTATATACACCTGTACAGTGCTTATACTGAACAAATAGGTATATATACACCTGTACAGTGCTTATACTGAGCAAATAGGTATATTTATATACACCTGTACAGTGCCTATACTGGGCAAATAGGTATATATACACCTGTACAGTGCTTATACTGAGCAAATAGGTATATATACACCTGTACAGTGCTTATACTGAACAAATAGGTATATATACACCTGTACAGTGCTTATACTGAGCAAATAGGTATATATACACCTGTAGAGTGCCTATACTGGGCAAATAGGTATATATACACCTGAACAGTGCCTATACTGAGCAAATAGGTATATATACACCTGTACAGTGCCTATACTGGGCAAATAGGTATATATACACCTGTACAGTGCCTATACTGGGCAAATAGGTACATATACACCTGTACAGTGCCTATACTGAGCAAATAGTTATATATACACCTGTTCAGTGCTTATACTGAGCAAATAGGTATATATACACCTGTACAGTGCCTATACTGAGCAAATAGGTGTATATATATACACCTGTTGAGTGCATATACTGAGCAAATAGGTATATATACACCTGCACAGTACAAAAAAATATACAGCGCAAATAGTTATATATATATATATATATATATATATATATATACAAATAGGTTATGGTGGGGAAAAATTGTGATTGAAAACCCCTTCCACCTGAAGTATGTGGATAGTTAATACAATGCTAAACAAAAATCTGCACACCAGTCAAGCCATAAGACTTGCTTTTCCCACAGAAATCCCAAATCAGCAGTGATGTTACAACCGCAAAGGATTCTGGGTGGGCATATGCAAATTAGTTTAACAAAGAATCACATTTTTGCCTCATTCCATTTTAAACATGGATTCCTTTTAATTTGCGTTTGCAGTATACAACTGCTTGGAACACAATTTAGGATAAGATGCAAAACCAGTGAACCACTCATGGACAGCTGTTTCGTTGTTAATGCAACTCTTCCGCATGAGGTTGGTTACTGGTTTGCTTATTGAGGCTTGGTAGTGCTTGGGAAGCAAAATCCAAAAAGGTTATGGTGGGGAAAAATTGTGATTGAAAACCCCTTCCACCTGAAGTATGTGGATAGTTAATACAATGCTAAACAAAAATCTGCACACCAGTCAAGCCATAAGACTTGCTTTTCCCACAGAAATCCCAGGTGGAAGGGGTCAGGTGAAAATCAGGTGGAAATCATCAGGTGGAAGGGGTTTTCAATCACAATTTTTCCCCACCATAACCTATTTGGATTTTGCTTCCCAAGCACTACCAAGCCTCACTAAGCAAACCAGTAACCAACCTCATGCTGAAGAGTTGCATTAACAACGAAACAACTGTCCATGAGTGGTTCACTGGTTTTGCATCTTATCCTAAATTGTGTTCCAAGCAGTTGTATACTGCAAACACAAATTAAAAGGAATCCATGTTTAAAATGGAATGAGGCAAAAATGTGATTCTTTGTTAAGCTAATTTGCATATGCCCACCCAGAATCCTTTGCGGTTGTAACATCACTGTTGATTTGGGATTTCTGTGGGAAAAGCAAGTCTTATGGCTTGACTGGTGTGCAGATTTTTGTTTAGCATTGTATTAACTATCCACATACTTCAGGTGGAAGGGGTTTTCAATCACAATTTTTTCCCCACCATAACCTATTTGGATTTTGCTTCCCAAGCACTACCAAGCCTCACTAAGCAAACCAGTAACCAACCTCATGCTGAAGAGTTGCATTAACAATGAAACAGCTGTCCATGAGTGGTTCACTGGTTTTGCATCTTATACTAAATTGTGTTCCAAGCAGTTGTATACTGCAAACACAAATTAAAAGGAATCTATGTTTAAAATGGAATGAGGCAAAAATATGATTCTTTGTTAAACTAATTTGCATATGCCCACCCAGAATCCTTTGCGGTTGTAACATCACTGCTGATTTGGGATTTCTGTGGGAAAAGCAAGTCTTATGGCTTGACTGGTGTGCAGATTTTTGTTTAGCATTGTATTAACTATATATATATATATATATAGTGCATATACACAATACTGGGCCCCCTTACACAATACTGGGCTCTCATCCATGTTACTGGGCTCTCATACTCGATAGTGGGCCATTACAAACATTACTGAGCCCTCATACACAATACTGGGTCCCCATACAAAATATTGGGCCCCCATACACAATACTGGGCTCTCATACACAATACTGGGCTCTCATACATGATGAATTACTCTCATACACAATACTGGGCTCTCATACACAATACTGGGCCCACATATACAATACTTGTGTGGCAAACCCTGCCACTAAAATACTAACTGTTCTGTGCGAATGAACACTGGAGTTATTATAAGCGAATGTGTGTAAAGGCAGAGACTCAATTCACGAACGGACTATACTGTCATTCATGCTGTTATTCATGCGAATGCCCTGAAACTACCGAACGAGAGACCACCAAGGGGTGGTCGTGTGTCTCCTATTAACCAAAGATACAATGTTGCGAAGTGTGTTAAGTGCGAGTGTGTGTGGCCGCCATTTCGTCTACCGAACACGTGGCGGCGGCCATCTTACGTACGAACAGCGGTACTTGGTCGTCGAATGCCTGCTACTCAAACCGGGCATTCAACTAACCAAGTACCACTACGACCTCCAGCACGTTCAAAAATCACGAAGCAAACACACGAACACCTCAGCATTCGGTATGTGGAATCGCACAAACGAGGGGATTAATTCGAATGGTAAAGGAAGCCTGGATGCCCAGCCGTTCGGGACTTTTGAGTCACTAGAACAGACCGACCGCAGGGCCAGAATTCATGGAACTGTTTTCGGCTACTGAGCCCGTGCGGTCGGTCAAATCTTTCACTGGCTGTAACTCCCGAACCCCTGGTCCGATCTGGGTGAATTTTGAGTATTTTGCTCACCTAGATCAGGGCTACCAGGGCACACCTTATTTAACCCTGTACCCCCTGTATTTAGGGAACATCCACAAATTGGGGAAAACTGTGTACATATTAATCTGGTTAATTGTTCATCTAAGGGGAGGAGAGGGATGGGAGGTGACCACGATATGATTGGGTACTGTAGTAATTATGAAAGTTACCTCCCTTGCATGGGAGAAATGCATAAAAGCAGACCTGTGAATAAAGCTGACAGTTGACTCCCAGACTATGTGTCGTCTAGTCCTTGGGGAGGTGGATTATGCTGTGTTCCTGTGATTTTGTATGCTGAATCTTTGTTCCCAGCGGAGAGCTATTGGATTAACCCCTGCTACTCCGCTACAACTTGGCTCTCATACACAATACTGGGCTCTCATACACAATACTGGCCTCATACACAATACTGGGCTCTAATACACAATACTGGGCCCCCATACACAATACTGGCCCTCATACACAATACTGGGCTCTCATACAATACTGGCCCTCAGACACAATACTGGGCGCTCATACACAATACTGGGCTCTCATACACAATACTGGCCCTCAGACACAATACTTGGCTCTCATACACAATACTGGCCCTCATACACAATACAGGGCTCTCATACACAATACTGGCCCTCAGACACAATACTGGGCTCTCATACACAATACTGGGCCTCAGACACAATACTGGGCGCTCATACACAATACTGGGCTCTCGTATACAATACTGGGCCCCCATACACAATACTGGGCTCTCATACAATACTGGCCCTCAGACACAATACTGGGCACTCATACACAATACTGGCCCTCAGACACAATACTGGGCTCTCATACACAATACTGGGCCCCCATACACAATACTGGGCCTCAGACACAATACTGGGCTCTCATACACAATACTGGCCCTCATACACAATACTGGGCCTCAGACACAATACTGGGCTCTCATACACAATACTGGGCTCTCATACACAATACTGGCCCTCAGACACAATACTGGGCTCTCATATACAATACTGGGCCCCCATACACAATACTGGGCCCCCATACACAATACTTGGCTCTCATACAAAAGACTAGTCGTCCAATATATAAGACCAGTTCTCACTCACACAACAGATATCACCCATACAGAAGACTAAACTAGTCATGGTATGCACAACACTGGTCATTTCTGGGATCATTTTTGGTTTACAATAATTCATATTTTGTGAGCAAGCACTGCTAAGTACTAAGTGATGCAGCCAGATATAGTTACACCGTGGAGGTTGTTGTCACATAGTGAGTGTAGGTTTCATTACCACATACAACGATTCTATTCTGAGCTACATTTAGCGGATACCCGTCACATTCATATATAGCGGACGTATCAATGAGTAAAAACAAAACCAACCAATTGCTTTCCCATTCATCCACTTATCCATTTATAAAGCACACATTCTATTATAAACCAGCTTTACTTCTTCCTGTCGGCAGCCCTATGACAGCCAACCCCAAAATATTGTTCTAATGTCCAACAAGACTCAGCCAGTTCCTGCTCCTTCCAAGACTAGTAGCTGTAACCCATCAGACTTCCTGTGATCGCCTGACAGGTGAAACGCATCCGGGAGATTCACTGCACTCCACAGAAAGAACGCCAAACAGCCTGAAGGTTCATTGTCAGATTGCATTTTTCGTCCAGAGTCGTGGAATGTTTTCATTCCTTACTATAAATGTCCAGATGTTTCCAAAGTCCATGCTCACAGATGAGTTGAGATCCTCTTTGTTCTTTGCTCTCTATTTGCGTGCCAACTGTCAGTTTTTCCATAGGCCGTGATATCATCCATGTTGTGTCTGCAATAAAAGCGACTGCAGGTGATACATGGGCGTGGGACTTTATATTATTTTAAAGACCAATAAAATTGGGGAAAAACAAGTTATAATAGGATGATGGCTCAAACAAACTGCCTAATTCTACAAAAATCACACCAACATTGCACTCCCACTACTGAACAATCTTATAAAAGAAGAAAATCTAGTTTTCAGTCATCGAATATATGTATTTTATTTACAATACATGTGCATTGATGTGAGCAAATGTCCACTTAAATGGCAGATTATGTGATACACGCATTGCACGTTCCGAGTAATAGCAGCATCCAGTGACATCATAACCCATCTTCAATGCTGTCATCAGATGACATCACATTCTCCCATTTTTGGATATGCCCAGCTATAGTTACATAGCAGCTAGGAGGACGGTAGAAGCACTTTTCATGCACTATCCAACAGCTCAAAGCAGTGACCAGCGTGTCAAAGCAAACATGGCGGGTCTGGGGTGGTTTTCCTGAGAGCAATTGACCAAGGAAATGTAAAACAATTACCTAGTTTGTCCATTTTCACCTAAAACATGCAGTTTTCTAGTGAGTTTTCCTCAATTTCCAGTTTTGTTAGAAAAAAAGTAATGTTTTTTTCAAAACTCTCTTCTAAAATAAAGAAATAGAAGATGCCGAGTTATTAGCAGAATGTACATTTCTGTTTCAACCCTCGTAGTTTACATTTTGGAAGAAAGAGATATTTAAACATCTTGGTTTCCACTTCCAAGTGCGTCCAAACTCCATGATTCTAACCAAACACAAACAAGTGACATGGAAAGACAATAGCTCACGACCTCGGGCTTCCTACAAGCAGCGGAAGTTTGTGAAGTGATGGCTCTTGGTGCAGGAAGCTCAGGAGAAAACAGATGGACAACTTGCCAGAGTTTTATAACAACAGGGACATTAAACTGAAGATGTCACTGAGTATCCTGGAGAAGTTTCTAAATAGAAGTAAAAAAATAGATTGAAAGGAAATGATTGCGTTAGCAGAGCGTCAGAGTGAGGGACAACCACTTAATGCTGCGCCCATCAGGGGGGGGCACATCGTAGTAGAGTGTGTTAGCTGGACTCATTGTCTCATTAAATTGATTTTTCCCAAGAGCTGGATTTTATTTTGTGTGAGCTGTTATATTTAACATATACTAGGTTTGAAGAGGGGCAAAAGCAAAACAATAGGGATTAATCAACCTTGCTTCTAGTGTCGATTGTCATAAAGCAATCATTCCGCAAGGCTGGTCACATGTCAAAGCAGCTGGAGTAGGAGAGATAATGCACCCAGGGTACTGGGAGATGGACAGTTACCTACCAATCCTGTGCTTTATATACATAGATCTATTAATTAATCTGTGTAAGTGTTATCTCTGCCATGACGGATGGCGGCACGGCTGCAAAAACGCTGCTCAGCTGCGCAGTGCGTGGAACTCCAGACAACGTCAATAAATAGCACTCACTTTGAAACCCCGCTATATTATCAACCAGAAATACAAAGGTCTTCTGTATATGACTTGATAGAGACCTTGTAATTTGGTGGAAACGTTGCCAGGTCCACTCGGGTGGAATCATACTCCTTCATTAATATTTTCAGTGTTGCGGCTCTGTTTTATATTAAATTTTATATTAATTAATTAATGTATCCTTTGTGTTTGCGGAAAGGAAGCTCGGAAACCTGCACTCGTTTATATTTCTCAGAAGTGCCGATCCTGCTGTATATTTGTTCTGCATCTTCTAGCAGTACGTTAGTTTGGCTGGTTTTCAGGTGAGGATTGACTCCATGTGACAGGCGTTCGTCCTTTTTGATTTCGTATATCTACCTGTAAGGGAGTATCTCTGTGCCAGGAACATTAATACAGTTCTCTGTATGTTTATACATTATGAAGATAAGGTTTAATAAGGTGACAATCCATTATTACATGTTTGTATTATTCAGAAATACTGTGTTTTTTACACAGTCTCTCAGCAAAGCTTTGTTTAATTCATGATTTCTAATTAGCGAAAGGGACAGAGTAATACGTTAAAGCCGTTTGACCATTTGAAAACATGAATCTATGTCCCTGCAGTGATAATGTCTGTGGTTCCCCTGCAAGGTTGATAATCTGAGGTGACACAAGTTATTACACTGGATTCTCTCCAGCCTAGAATTCGGAGTATGTATAACTTGTTAAACCTGAACTGAGCTAAGTACAGCACACGAGGAAGATGTTTTGTTATATTTAATGAGATCTCACCCATTGCTTTCACATATTGCGTCACCCATACCAGTCTAATTAAAATAACAAACTCTCTCAGCCACTCCCATGCGTCCCGGCCCATTCTGAGCTAGCCATTATCGTGCACTGCCTGGTCACATGCCAATACAAGGAGCAATGAGTCACAAGCCAAGAGGGCACCACCTATAAACACAACAACGTGGAATTTCCAGGGAAATGAAGAATGCACAGGATTTCTTATTAATTGATTAGAAACGTTGTTTGATCTGGAACAATCTAACTCAAAGCAAATCTGTTTACAATGGTCCTTTACTGACGATGACTTATTAAATGAACTGGTACGTAGGAATACTCCTCGGTGCACAAAATAATGTCGGTTCTTGGTTTGTAGGTTTTTAAGACTTTTGTAGAAAAGACGTTTATCGATTTAGTTTTGGATGAAAAGGTTTGTGCTGTCTCGCCTTTAAACTCTGTCGAGAAATGCACTGCTCCACGAGTCATGAAACATAAATAGAAATAGTAAAATAAGAATTGAACCTGTATATGCTGTGGAACGCAATTAGAGCTGCACAAGAAACTGTCCATTTGCAGAAAAAGGAGGATGTCTTTGCTGGTAATCTAGCTGGAAAGGGGGGTAGAGCTGCTTGTCCCTTTGTTGTGTTTGAGATATTAAATCATACTCCTCTCTGTCACAGCACAGCATTGCAATGGAATCCGGAAAGGTCTGCGTTGGGTTAAACTCGGGTCTCATGGACTTACTACATCGCAGGTTTATGTCCGCTGCATGTGGACCTTCTCATACCACAGAGTGCAATATGGGGGGACAGGGGCTCTGCAATATCACTCTGCTTTTTCAATAGCTAATTACTATCTTTAACCCTCTCCTAAATCCCTCACCAGTTCTAAGCCATGTTATAAACATTTATTATTTAAAAATCAGAGTGTCATTATTTAATTTAGGCTGGTGCGTTGGACACAATATGGGACTGCGATAGTCAACCACGTCTTCCATTTAACAAATATTGTGCGGCAGGGGGAATGAGAGGCCCTTTGCAGATTAAGTTTTAACCCCTTAAGGACCAAACTTCTGGAATAAAAGGGAATCATGACATGTCACACATGCCATGTGTCCTTAAGGGGTTAAAGTAAATTAAAATATTTTATGTGTACGATCCCAAAATGTTCTTCTTTGACTTGGTCCTTGAAGTAGGAAGAGAAAAAAGAATTGGCAGACGCATAAAAGCACAAGGCGGAGTTCAGCAGAGATACAACAGTTTCTAACTAATAACAATATAACTGGTTAATATTGAAACTGAATTACAGCTCAGCTGAAGTTTAGGGACTTTGATGCTGAAAATGCACAGCTTAAAGGTAATAAGGGATGGGTTAAGGGGGATTACAGTGTTTACTGAATGCTTCTGCTTGGGAAAATAAAAAACGCACAATGCCAACAATTGAAGGCACAGCCATTACATTAAATTAAAATAAGCATTTCCTGTAGATGAAAACATAAAAATACCAAAGATTTAATATTCCAGAACTTTAAACTATAAAGTATAGTCCAGAGATAGACATAATTTAAAGGTACAAAAAGTCCCATGATCCCCGAAAGGGTTCAGCTGATTGCACACTGACTGCCTGAGGATTGTGGAGGTTGCTGTTCTTAAATAGCGATCACATTGTTATCACTGGGGTGGAATTAATTTAACTGGACTCTGTCGGTAAATCCTGTCCACCGAAATATATTTATTTAATGTTATGTCTCCGTGGTCCAGTGTATAATGAGGCAAATAACCCAAACACACTACTTTCCATACTCCGTGGGTACTTAATCATAACTCACCACGAGGAACAATGTGCACCCCGTGTGTTTCAGTGATCTCGACACTGGGAGCTCGTTTGAGCAGGGTCCTCATCTATCTATTGTTCCTGTAACAATTCGTTATTGTCCCCTTTTAATGTAAAGCGTTGCAGACTAAGCTGGCACTTTATAAATACCAATAATAATTGTGCACTGTAGATCTATAATATAGAGCCGAGAGACCCTGTTTCTGGTCTCTCAGCCAGCTGTCTAGAAGGCCTCTTTTACTGGGACAGCAACCTCTGTGCCCCCATAACGGCAGCTCTCTAGGAACAGCAGCAAGGCATGGCTACACCAAAAAATGAGTGTTTTCTCATCATTTTAGGAGTCACAAGATCATACAGATCTTCAAACTCTGCAATTATTAACATTGGGCTCTTTATTTTACATTTGCATGAATTTTCATACATTACGGTACATTATCAATGAATTCAGAGATCTATGGATAAAAATTGATTTCCATAGAAACCAAGATTGGCACAGATATTTCAGCCCAAAAAAGATAAACACTTTTGAAACACACCATAACCACTACTGCTTGCTGTGGTGGTTATGGTGCCAGAAGAGCCTGACTCTTCCGAATTAGAACCATTTTAGAATGCTTTGACTCCTTATCTGGGGTTCGCTGGTTGCCACTCCCCAACTCCACTACGGAGATCTTTGTCTGAGCTGAGACTGGAGGTGCAGAGCTTAGCTCATTGGCTGAGAGTGATCAGCTGACGCGTCAGGAATAAACCAATGAGAGCTAATAGAAGCTCAAGCAAAGGAACCTCCAGTTCCCCATCATCGGGCTGAAGCAGGAAAGAACTCAAAGCATTCTAAAATGGTGTGAACATGGGGCTCGATAAGTGCTACAGCGAGCTGCAGTGGTGATGGTGTTCGGAATGTTCCGTTACTTCATTCGGCAGTTAATTTACTCCATGATATCCTTCTAAGGGTCATTCTACAATGATACAGAATCCAAAGCTATACTGTTTACTAATTGTTATTTCTACTAAACGCGATTCAGAGTCTAACTCCCTGTTATGCAATGCGTGTGATAGTATCATTTAATAAACCTGTTTACAGGACAACACAGGCAATAATTTCAATGGTCGTATTTCAAATAAACCAGCAAAATTTAAATATTAATTGAGAACAACTGCCCGGTCTCAGACGTGTGGTGGTGAAGAGACGACACTGGAAATTCTGACCTCAAATCTGAGTGTTGATGGCTATTTTACGTAAGTGTGCATGTGTTTGGTTAATTTAGCCATGGGACGAGTAGTCGCCCACTGCCTTTAATCAGGATAGTAGTGAGTCTTCCCTCTAATTACATAACAAGAAAGTCAAAATGACAGCATTTGGATGGAATCCTAATCTTCTGTCCCTCGACACGGATTAAATTACACCACAAACAATAAAATTGATATTTCAACAGGAAATTAAACAGATTGCTTTTGTTCCAAAGTAGTTTGCAGCTATTAAACCCAAGTTAAATTTTGGAAGTCAAGCTTATCGTTTGGCAATTATAATATATATAAAAATCTGCTTTAATATCATTTTTAAAGGATTGGCAGCATAGACGTCTAAAGTGACGGGTGCATTAGGGACTTGTCTCTGCTTCACTTACAGGATAACTCGCTAAACCCTGCATTTCAGCAATTCACGTGACAATACATTTTTAGCTCAGAATAGCTGACTTGGATATAAATTTCAGTATGGCTATGTTACCCTAAAAGGTGCAATATTTAAGTGAATCCCCAACAATTCTTGGTTTAAAAAGGACACTATAGGCAACGTTATTTTAATGAAGTGGTTATAGTGTATAGATCATGCCTCTGCAGTCTCTCTGCAATTTAATAGTTAAATCCCTCTGTTTATGCAGCCCTTGGCACACCTACCCGGGCTGAGACTCACAGCCTCCCTACTAAACGTGTGCATGGTGGAAATGTTTCAATTCTAAAGAATTTCATGAAGAAATTTCAGTTTGATACAACATTTCGATTTGTTATGAAATATTTCAGGTCGATCTGAAAATTGCAAGGGTAGTCCTAAAACAAACAGAAATGGGTGCCTTTAGTGTGCCTTTAAAAAATAACCAAATCTCAAATTATGAGTTAGTGATTCAAAGAGTCTGCTAGACTCGGTTATGATGCAAAATGACACTTCACAGTCTGTTTAATTTCAAATATCTTATCTTCTGCTCTGTTAATTGCTAGAGCCTACAGCAGCCTCCTGTGTGAGACTAAAGTTCAATTTACAGAGCAGGAAATAAAGGTAAACACACTGTGCTGTAAAATACAACCTTTTTCTCATGAAGGCAGTGTGAGCGAGTTGCAGGGGATTGATGTGTACCCCACATCAACGTCACTAAGCTAAAGTTGTTTTGGTGATTATAGCACCCCATTAAAATGAACCTGTAATGAATAAAAATCTTTTCGTAAATTGTCCCAAAATACACTGAATTCATCATATATCACAAAGATACATAATATATTCAATGTAAAATACTGATATTTACTCACCATATCTATGTCCCAGTGCCACCATTTCCTCATTCTCCTGGGGTTAACTCTTCTGTTTGTCCTCCCCCATTCCCCACCCCACGCTGTCCTATGTGATTTGCCCTGCGTGCGGACACTTGCCAAGCAAAGCAGGCGTCCGTGTGATGCTGACACGCTGCTTCTGAACAGAACCGTCGCTAGCAGAATCGGCTAGGAAGTATCTGTAGCAACCACAGTGCATGTGCTGTGGTTCTTTGCTTGGAGAGCAGAAGTGGGAGATGCGATGAAGTCCCCCGCCCATTGAATTGTGGAGTTACCCCCTTAGGAATAAAGTAGTTACTCCCCCCCACCCTCATTCCTTAGAACGGTGGAGTTACACCTCCTTGGAACGGTTTAGTTATCCCTCCTGGGAATGGTGGAGTTACCCCCCCATCCTTGGAACAGTGGAGTTACCCTCTAGGAATGGGGGAGATTAACGGGACACTATAGTCACCTGAACAACTTTAGCTTAATGAAGCAGTTTTGGTGTTTAGAACATGTCCCTGCAGCCTCACTGCTCAATCCTTTTCCATTTAGGAGTTAATTCACTTTGTTTTTGAACCCTAGTCACACCTCCCTGCATGAGACTTGCACAGCCTTCCATAAACACTTCCTGTAAAGAGAGCCCTATTTAGGCTTTCTTTATTGCAAGTTCTGTTTAATTAAGATTTTCTTATCCCCTGCCATGTTAATAGCTTGCTAGACCCTGCAAGAGCCTCCTGTATGTGATTAAAGTTCAATTTAGAGATTGAGATACAATTATTTAAGGTAAATTACATCTGTTTGAAAGTGAAACCAGTTTTTCTTTCATGTAGGCTCTGTCAATCATAGCCAGGGAAGGTGTGGCTAGGGCTGCATAAACAGAAACAAAGTGATTTAACTCCTAAATGACAGTGAATTGAACAGTGAAATTGCAGGGGAATGATCTATAAACTAAAACTGCTTTATTTAGCTAAAGTAATTTAGGTGACTATAGTGTTCCTTTAATGAAGGACCGTCGAGGGAACGCAAATTGAGGACAAAACTGCTGAAATGGAAGCTGTGACGAACTGAGCCTCGCCACGTGTGCTTGGAGGGGCCTGCTGGCCATCCTCTTACCAAAAGACTATGGGCCCTTTAAAAACTATGTGAACAGACTTGGTTCGTGGGATTTTATATTTGGTTCCGGAACCGAACAGCCGCACGAAGCAGAGACCACCCTGGAGCTGGTTAAGCCTAATTGCTACTTTGTAGCAATTTCCACCACAGTGTTCTAAGTGTTCGTCTGGGTGGCCACAATTCCTATGTAGTTGGTGGCCATCTTGTTCGCATGAACGCAGGTAGCGGTGTTTGGGCATGAATCTCATGGAACTGAAAATGGACACAGAAACTCCCGAACACCGCTGGACTTCCATGATCGCCTGTGTTCAGTTTTATAGCACTTAGGAAGACACTGTTCGGTGAAAACGTTCCCACGAACAAGGGGATCAAGCTCCAGGGTAAGACTATTGACTCTGTTTGGTAGTTTGTTCGTTTTTAAACTACCGAACTAGACTGACCGTAAGCCCTAATTCTCTGGAGCCGTTTTGGTCATGGGACCATGAGTGCGGTAGGTCAAATTATGACTTCCAGGAAATTCCTGAACCCCTGAACTGATCTGGGTAATTTTTGGATATGTTGGTCGCCCAGATCAGGGCATTCAGGGGATGTAACGTTTGTCGGGATTTTGTGTGTTTTAAGGCATTTTTAAGGTTTGTCTGTTTTTGTGCCTTGAGATAAATGAGTTTAATACAGTACTTGACTCCTTTATCTCTCAGGCACAGTGGAGGGATTGGCCTATTTTGTATGGGAGTGTCCAGGCCTGAGAGCCAATGTAATAGTGCAGCGGTTCCCAAAGTGTGGGTCGCAGGGCGATTCCCGGTGGGTCGCGCTGACCCACACATCCAGGGCCATCCAACACCAGGAGGGAGCCCGACGGCTTGCCCTGTATGCCGCCGGGCTCCCTCCAATCAGTTTGCCCAGCACCTCCAGTCTGGGCAGACTGATTGGAGGGAGCCCGGCTCCCCACTGTAACCCCTTCTCTCCCTGCCCCCCTCCCCAATGTAACCACTACACTCCTTGCCCTCCCCGATGCAACCCCTACACTCCTTGCCCTCCCCCAATGTAACCCCTTCACTCCCTGCCCCCCTCCCACAGTGTAACCCCTTCACTCCCTGCCCCCTCTCACAATGTAACCCCTTCTCCCCCTGCCCCAACCCCTTCTCTCCTGCACCCCCCCCCTAGCCCTTACACTCCTTGCCTCCTCCCCCTGCACTCCTTGCCCCTCCCCCCCTTCACTCTCTGCCCCCTCCCACAGTGCCCCTTCACTCCTGCCCCCTCTCATGTAACCCCTTCTCTCCCTGCCCCCTCCACAGTAACCCCTCCTCTCCTGCCCCGACCACACTGTAGCCCTTTCTCTTCCCTGCCCCCCCCTCCCCACTGTTGCCCCTTTCTCTCCTGCCCCCCTCCCCCAATGTAACCTTGCCCTCCCCGCCTTCCCCTGCCCCCCCCCACACTGTGGCCCCTTCATTCCCTGCCTTCCCCATGACCCCCTTCCTCCTGCCCTCCCCCACCTTAACCCCTTCACTGCCTGCCCTCCCCAATGTAGCCCTTCACTCCTGCCCTCCCCAATGTAACCTCCTTCACCTTCCCTGCCCTCCCCAACTGTAACCCCTTCACTCCCTACACCCTCCCCACACTGTCCCTTTCACTCCTGCCTTCCCCACCTGTAACCTCTCTTCCCGGCCCCCTCCCACACTGTAATCCATTCCTCCCTGCCCCCCCACTGTAGCCTTTTCTCCCCCTGCCCCCCACACTGTAACCCTTTCTCCCCCTGCCTGCCCACCCCTTCTCCCCCTGCCTGCCCACTGTAAACCTTTCTCCCCCTGCCCGCCCACTGTAAACCTTTCTCACCTTGCCCTCCCACACTGTCACCCTCACCTCTCCCACACACTGTCACCCTCACCTCCTGTCTCTGCGTGTATGTGTATCTGTGTGTCCTTTTGTGTCAGTGTGTGTGTCTGTGTGTCAGTGTGTATCTGTGTACATGAGTATCTGTGTATCTATGTGTGGGAAACTAGGTGTCATTGTGTGTCTGTGTGTATTGCTGTGTCAGTGTGTGTATTTTTGTGTCTGTGTGTGTCTCTGTATGTGTGTGTATATGTGTATACACTTCACACATACTCCATACAAAAAACATGCGTACATTCAAACACACATTGTGTATATGTATATTTTATGAACACAATACACACACTGCATCAACTACACACACACACACACACACACTGCATCCACTACACACGTACTGCAAACACAAAAATTACATACAAACACACCCCGCATTAAAACACTAAAATTATCTACAAACACCCCTTCATTCAAACACCAACACTACACACAAAAAGCACACCTACATTTAAAGTCCTACACTACATACAAACACCCAAGCATTCAGACGCAAACATTCCAAACAAGTACACCACTACATTCCAATGGCAACAGTACATACAAATACACCCATACATGCACACATATACTTAATACAAAAACATGCTTACATTCAAACGCTCAAACACTGCTCACAAAAATAACCCTGCAGTGATAAGAAAATGGTAGATCCCCATCTGGTACAGCATTGTTGAAGTTCTCCGACAGATGGAGAACTACCTTTTGGCCACACTTGCACTAGAGGGCGGACCCAGAAAACATTTTTGCACCCAGTTCCACCACTGGGATAATCAATGTGAGGTGCCTGGATGAAAGAGCAGGACACAGCACTTCTGATTCTGAGTCTGTGAGTAAGCAGTTGTATGTCTCTAAAATTGATTGCCATGATGCATCTAAAGCTGATTGCCACGGTGTGCCAATTATATGCATCTAAAGCGGATTGCTATAGTGTGTCAATTGTATGCATCTAAAGCGGATTGCCACGGTGTGCCAATTTTATGCCTCTAAAGCTGGTTGCCATGGTGTGCCAATTGTATGCCTCTAAAGCTGGTTGCCATGGTGTTCACTTTTTTAAATATGCATTAAAAGCAAGTGGGTCTCGAAAAATTACCATTTTGAAAAGTGGGTCTCGGCCCATAAAAGTTTGGGAAGCCCTGTAATAGTGTATATGTTATTACTGTAGTCTACTCTCACATCCAGGAGGGAGTGCCCCTTGCATGGGGACCTGTATGTAAGGCCAGTTGTGGCTGCCATTAAACAGATTCGTTTTACTCTCATGAAGTCTAGGCTCATGTTAGGGGGATTGGAGAGCTATATTCACTCTCGGGATTGCTATACTCATTATACTCCCTTGGATTATAATCACTAGCTCTTGACTCTCTGGACTAGGAGAGGTCTACCCACTGGAAGCTGGATCCTGGTCTTGGGTCCAGGGTGGGTGGAGGACAGCGAGACCCCAACAAAGCTGCGGCGGTTTGTGGGGTTTACGGTGGTTAAGGTGTCAGAGTGCGGTGCTTATGGTGCTCGCAAGTACTAGGAAGCTGCGATTGACGGAGGTACCTGGTCGGGGTGCCAGGCGGTCCGTCACGGAAGCATTCTGCAACTAAGCTATTTTTCAAGCTCGACTATTTTGGAATAAAATGTGCAATTCTTTCGTCAATTCTCGTTAGGCCCTATATAAAATAACGTGATTTTAAAAACTCTGCAGTTTAGGTATTTCTCCAACACTGCTGATTCTGATCTGTCCCTGACAGATTCACAATTGCTGAATAACACCAATAACATTATTTGTAGCCCCATACTTCCTTGTTTTGCAGGATATTTACCTTCAATTCACTCTGACTGCGGCAGAGTTAGACGGGTTGGACAGTTCAAATCTCTTCCCTAAGGAAAAGCTGTCAGTTTGCAAAGACCTGTGCACTCACAATATTAACAGGACACATTCTAACACTAACTTGTTACATGCTTTTTATTGAGCCCAAACAAGATCATCAGGGGAGATTAGGACACGGCTACATTGTGTTTGTATTGCTCTGAGAAAACATAATGGCTGCATCCAGCTGGCTAACACTGGTTCTACTGGCTTGGAAAACAATAGATATCACGTAGCAAACAGCAATCACGTCCTTCCCGAGAATGGGAGCTCTGACAAAGAATGTGTAGGGTCCGGACTGCCCTCCCACCCTTATCATTCTCTGGGTGGTCATAGGTTAACAGTGGTAATCAAAATGATTCAACCCCCTTTGAATCCAGGTTTATTATCAAAATGTACAGACTTTCAGCTGTTTGCAATTAACAAATCAAATAAAAGCAATTGAAATAGCTTAACACAAAGAATGCTTCAAGGGGATTCCTATTCTAATTATTATAATTATTAGACTTTAAGTGTAAGTCTTATTAGAATTAATTTTAAACCGACCAGCGCTAGCAGCAGATCTCACATCATCTCACTGCACTCATCCCTTATTAGATAAACTCCAGTCATACTTCCCAAGTGGCCAGATTCCCATGAAGAAGTCCTAATTAAGGACTGAGTCACACTGATTTTCCCTTCCAGTACCCACATTTCCGGTATGATGGTGGAAAATCTATTAAATTACAGATTTTGCCTGTAATGTAATGCCTTTGTCAGATTCACCAACAAATGGTCTGTGAGCAATCTTGCTTGACACCCCCTAGTACGGCCTGGCCTCTAGTGTATATCGTCTGACTGCTATATGTGGAGGAGGCCGAGAGCTAGATTGGGGAGAATTAGTGTGTCTGCGTGTGCTGATTATGTGTTGTTTGTGGTAAATGAAGTTCTTAAATTTTTAATTTTCCCCATCCTGTTTACTTTTTGGCAAGAGGAGTATCATCTTTGGGTGACCTCAGTCAATGACTAAGGTCCACAGACGGAGCTTTAAAGTGGCCTGTTCTCGATATTGGTACAGACTCAATGAAGTGAGGGGGCTCAAGGCCCAGCAGGAAGATCTTCTGATCTATTTGGGAGAGCCGTCTCGCCATTAGAGATGAAGCATCATGCCCCGACATGGGCCCACTAGGACCTAGACCACCAACTAGGCTGCCTAATGGGTGATCTTGCTCTGTTCATAAGCTCGATTTACTGACATTTAATTTGAAATAAAAAATACTTACAACATGAGAATTGAGGATTTGTTTTCTAAAGTAATTTCAGGGCTAACTTGGGGGATACGTTAAGAGGGTTCTATTATGTTTAGATCCTGATTAGCGAAATGCTAACTTTAGGTTCAAGTCAAGCCAAGTCAGGAATACAGATTTCTAGACAATTGTCTAAATGCAGATTCAGATGAGCGATTTGGTAAATTTTGGTATCGATTATACGACTTGGAATATAACTATGGCTAAAGTCCTATAATTACGACCTACCAATATTTATCATTATTATTTGGTAGATATGTAGTGAATTGACATTAGACCTTGCAATGCTAATTAGATATGACTGTAGAAGTCACACACATATAAAAAAAATATATATATATTTTTCTACAATACAGCAATGTATTTGCACTGGAAGAACAGGGGGTGATGATCCTTTGTTTAGGATTGCATGGACTCCCCTTAACATACACTCTGCTTTCGTTTCACTTGTCCCTTAGTACACTGCGCCAAGATCTGCTTAATAATTTCTTTCTGGGAGGAAGATCTGTTGAATGATAACAATCAGGTGACAATAAGGGCTCCTTGAATTGTGACTTGGATATAATCCCCCTAATTAGCAGTTGTGTATAATAGCTCTGTGTATTTTGGCAAGAGATTTTCCCTGCAAAGATAACTCTATCTCCTACTGAAAACAGAGAACTGCGTCTGCGCCAACGTTGGCAAAATGCATTTTCCATTTCATTTCAAAAGCTTGGTTCAAACAGCATGGAATCTTATCACTGTGGATTACAGGACTTCTGAAAGGACACTGTAACATATTGACACAAAGCACAAATCCAGATATAAAAATCAAAGCACGACTTAAATATCTGTACCCTCTTGTGTACGGTAGCGATATTGTTATAACCTAAATATTATCAGGCTACACCCACATTATCCGGCTTGGACGGGTTCCAGCCATATGGAAATATCAAAAGACACCTACATAAAAAGATCGCTTGCGCTCAGTGGAATTATCTGCTCGTTCTTTTCCTGTGTTTTCCATGAATTGGCTACAACGTCTGAACGAGGTGATTTCATCACTTGGCAAGACATAGACAGGGGGATCAGATTAATGTCAGGGAGGTACAGAAAGATCATGTTATACATAATACAGCTCCATAACGGAACGGATTTTTGCTAAATATAAATGCAGGATGGCCAAGAGTTGATATGAGCAGGCAAAAAAAAAGAGGTTTATTTAATCTGTGCAGATGGAAATTTGTAAAAACCTAGAAACTTCTTAAATAATTCGGGGCATACATCTGGTACACGATGACTGGGAAGGAAATAGTCCTTCAAAGAGGTAAAGTCACAGCTAAAAGGTGCTGTTTGATGATATAAACCACCATGGACGGACAATAGACAGGGTTTTACCAACATGCTCGTTTGAACATAACTGGCATCTCCACATATCAAATTATTGGCAGTCCTGGTATAAAAATCAGTGAAACAAATCATTATGTCTGTGTTGTATGCAGGAAACCAGAGGCAAGATCATTGTGTATCACTTTGTACCCCCATCATACGGGAACATCAACCAAGCACAAAAAGTGTCTCAAAAAGTCCTCTAGATGTATCATTATGCAAAATGTTTAATCTATAGCATGCAATAAAAATCAGAGATTCACCTGAGAAAGACTTGGTGTAGCAGAACCGTTTAACTCTCAGGTGCTGGAGGTCTGTTTGAGTCTCAGGTGTTGGCGGACCGTTTGACTCTCAGGTGTTGGCGGACCATTTGACTCTTAGGTATTAGAGGTCTGTTTCACTCTCAGGTGTTGAAAGTCCATTTGTCCATTAGGTGTTGGCGGATGATTTAACCCTGAAGTGTTGCAGAAACGTTAGACCCTCAGATGTTAAAACACCATTTGACCCACGTGTCATGGACGAGGTTCTTTTCATTATGTAAGACAATCAGATTAGCTGCAGTCTAGTTTGCAGGATCAGGTAAGGGCAAGACCTAAGAATATCTATACAATTTCTCCAACAGAACATGACTATTTGCCAGCCATCAAATAGTTAAAAACCCATGCATTGTGAGGGTTAATTATGCGGCGTCTTGATAGCACTTGCTAGGTAACTGTTCTATTAAAAAGTTAAAAAAAATAAACAAAGTTATTAATAAAAAAAAGACCCTGAATCAATATAAGAGAGATTTTAAACCATATATAGATACATATCTACTAAATATTTAATACTAGCGACTGAACAGCCAGTCGGAACTTCGCGTCCCCACACCAGTACCCCAACTTTGGAGGTGAGTTGGGCTATTATAATAATATAAGGGGGATCCTAATGTCCTCACTAATAATTTAAATTGGGGGCTTTAATGTCCAAACACCAGCCCTCATCCACTAGCAGCAGGTGGGGGCTCTAATAATAGTATGCGGAGGGCCTAGTGTCACCCCTTCCGACCCCACCCATGGGCGGCAGGTGGGGGCTCTAAATAATGATACATTATTGTGACTAGGGGTTCCAAAGCCACCCACATTAAACTACTCCCCCACCATACTAACAATGAGGGGGTATTAAACTCAGACCTGTAAAAAAATCCTTGAGGCCAAAACAAAAGATTGATCTAGAGGTTAGAATATCAGCAGGTGAGGACTCAGTCATTGTGTTCACACTGTCCCAGAGAGTGAATGCTCCGAGGCAGACATGTCAGGTTCACTCCGAAACCCGGACACACAAACCAGTTATTCCACATCAGCGATAATAAGAGTAAAAAACTGAAAAATAAAAAACAAGGGCTGCCAGTGTTAAAGTATAGCAGAGAGGAATATAAAGTATAAAGTTTTAGCACCTGTGCTGATCTCCATCATTCATTGTGCTGCAAAAATATTTCACAATTAATGGGAATTTTTGCTTTAAAAGATTGGAGGAAAAAAGTCTGAGAGGGGATTTCTGTCTTTGGAAGAGAATGATTGTGTCTTTGACCCTTTACAGTGAACATTCTGTATTCCCCGTTGGAAAAGGAGCAATATAGGGATTTAAGGAGGAAAGCCAGAATGAGAGGTTAGTGCCCGAATTTTGGAAATTAATGAAATTTTCGCGTGAAATTCTGTTTGTCTGAATCAATAATTTTAGAATTTTGAAATTCAAAATCATTGAAACAAAACATCAAAAAAATGTTTTTCCTCCGAACATATCCCTATTACTGACTATAAGCTGCTGATTGATGTCTGCACTGTGTGCACAGATACTGTTTTTTTTTTAGTAATTCCTTTCTGGAAAGTCAGTCGTTCAAGTCAAGCAAAGAATTTAAGATGAATGCATAACGTGAAAGTACGTTCTGTAACGCCAGGTAAATTCTTCCATAGATAAACACCTGAGGGGATTCTTGCTTTTTGGACATCTAAGGTCAAAGTTAGAGTCAGGTGGTGATAAATGATACAGTGTCGAGTTCAGCTAACTGCTATATGTGATGTGTGTGCTGGCTATATGTGATGTGTGTGCTGGCTGTGTGTGATGTGTGCTGGCTATATGTGCTGGCTGTGTGTGATGTGTGTGCTGGCTGTGTGTGATGTGTGCTGGCTATATGTGCTGGCTGTGTGTGATGTGTGCTGGATGTATGTGACATTTGTGTGGTGGCTGTAGATAATGTGTGTGTGTGTGCTGGCTGTGTGTGATGTGTGTTGGCTGTGTGTGATGTCTGTGTGCGATGTGTGCTGGCTGTATGTATCGTTTGTGTGGTGGCTGTAGATAATGTGTGTGTGCTGGCTGTGTGTGATGTGTGCTGGCTATATGTGATGTTTGTGTGCTGGCTGTGTGTGATGTGTGCTGGCTGCATGTGATGTTTGTGTGGTAGTTGTAGATAATGTTTGTGGTTCGTGCTCTGTGCAGTCCCCTCCTGCTTGGCTCTCTTCGACCAATTGGGACTATGAATCATGTGATCCAATGGGGGGATTATACTCCCTTGTGGTCCAGCAGGGGTTAACACCGTTTGGGGGGTCTAGCTGGGGTCCTGAATCCATGATGGTGTAGAAGGGGTCCTGAGATCCCGATGGTCCAGCAGGGGGAGCGTGAGGCTTGCTGTGTATATTCAGTATACTGCTGCGTACATGGAGATATATTTACCCCATGTGTTGCTATACAACCAGCTCGAAATTTATATTTACCTCCAGTTCTTTGCCCTAATATCATGAGAAAGTCTCGCCCAAAGCGGCGATCTCGCCCAGGCTGTTTATCTATGTGTCCTGGAAATGCAAAGATTTCTGATTCTGGATGTTTCCTCAAAGCAATATTTGGTGAAAAATGATCAAAATGCAATTGTTCCTGGTCATTATTGTCTCCAAGTGAAAATCAGCGCCGACAAACAGGAAGAAGACCATCTTTATTGCTTAAACCAGAGCAGTCATCTTATATTTTATAAACATGCAATCTGTTATAACGTCACTAAACACTCTCACGGTTATTCACTAAGCATGGCGAAAATGCTTGCATTCTGACCGTACTGGCAATTCTCATATTTACTAAAGCCAAACTCAGTTGGTCCGACTAGATCGGCAATAATCGCCCGGGTGGTGCTGAAACATTGTACTTGTTTTCTGTGTCTCTGTTACCACTTATCACCAGCCTGGTGTAGCGGGCTGGACTGAGTGTACACCATCTGCTGCCTATCAGTCCCAATCTGTTTTAGTGCAGTTTGATTTCTCAGCCGACGAGTCCGGGACTGTGCAGCACTGCGGTAATTGGCGTTCACTGGCCGAAAGGTCCTGCATTGGCCAAGTTTTATTCTACGGAGACAACCAGCAGGAGAAGGCCGGTATGCGTGGGAACCCGGGTAAGTCATACCATGCTAATATTAACTAACTACTGTGGGATGGCACAAAGGCACTCCTTGGCCAAGTCTGTAGTGGTTATAGTGCTTTAATAACCACAATCCTTGATTTGTTTCAATGGTAATAGTCATTGATTCTGAAAGTCCCACCGCAGGTTGCAATAAAATAAAAGGATCCTAAGTGAAACCAATGCTCTGTGTAAGTGGAAATATTGCCCCGCGCCATTAAATTACAATTTTTTGCAATGGGTTAAGGGAGAAACTATGAATGATCAACCAATCCCACAGATGGCAGAATGAGGGCAAACATTGCATGTATTATTAACCAATACCTTGCCACGATAGCTCAGCAGGGAGGGGCTGGGGGCTTTTTTAATGTGACTTTTTTTCATGAATTGCTGCAGGTGAAGGTGAAGGTGAAGGTGAAGCTGAAGGTGAAATGTGCTTTCTACATAAAGTTGTATTTTATTAGCTCGATGTTCACAGAATAGACCAAACCTTCCTTATACCGAATTATATTCTTCCCTTACGTTAACAGATTTTTTTTTTAAATCCAAAACATAGAACAACATATAAAATATACACTGATAACTGATATACAACAAAAAATGACATTTAGTTTGGAGTGTAAATGATACCCTTAGAGTGTTAGCTCCTTTGACCTTCTGCACCTGGACGCCCAACCTGACTAGTATCACCACTGACTGGCCAGTCCACCTATTGTACACCCAGGGCCTCCACCAGAAATTTTGGGGCCCCTAACTCAGCTCAGGGTCTGGGCCGCCGGGGGCCTGCCTCCAAGCCCGCCCACTGGGTCCACCTCCAAATCACGCCCACAGGAATACACACACAGACACAAACACACACACTGATACAAAAGGACACAGATACACACACAAACACACACAGATACATACTAACAGACACACATACTGAAACAGACATACACGCATATAGGCATACATACTGACACACACATACTGAGACATACACACATATACAGACACACAGGCATACATAGTGACAGACAGACACATACCAACATACATACAGACACATACATATATATTGACATACTTACAGACACCGACATTCATACACGCATACCTACATACATACATACATACATTCATACAGACACTGACATCCATACACACACAGACATACATTCATAATGACACACATACATACATACATACTGACATATATTGATACTGGCATACATACTGACATACATGCATATAGACACTGACATCCATACACACTTACATACATTCATAAGGACATACAGACATACATACTGACATACACACACACACACACGGAGCTCATTTCTCAGCCACCCTCCTGTTCTTACCTTTTCTTTGCAGGAGGGTGGTTCTCCCTCTTCAAGGCCTCCACGCTGGCTCTCCTCCCGCGCGGCGTGAGCTGGGAGGAAGTGACCACTTTCTCCCAGCAGCACTTGCGATACGGCTGCACTTTTTTTTTAAAGGGGCCCAGTCGCGCTATTACACGGCCACAGCGCTGACCGATTACTGAAGATATATGGCCCATCGGGTGGCCTTAAGTGCGTAGGCCCAGAGCAACTGCACCGGTGGTAATTCCGCTGCTACACGTGGGGCCCGCGCGGCCGGGCCCCCCCAGGGCCACCGTGCACGTGACAACCGTCATGGTTGTCACCCCCTGATGGTGGCTCTGTGTACAACCAGCAGAATTTGTTGGCAATTTATTAATATTGTTAATAACTAATTAATACAATTACAAAATACAAACAGCCACTTGATACAGAAGGGTAAATTATAAAGAAAAGCACAAGTGATTTGAGAAATGTCAGGATAAAACCATCCCCACAAAACAGGTAGATAACTTTTTTGGCAGGTGGTTTATGACCTTTGGCTGACTGAGAGTCCTGGGAATTATAGCTAAAAAAACCCATCACTAGTTATGATAGTGAGAGTCTTGCGGCTCAGCATGTCCTGGCAAGTGTGAAATCGAATTGTTTCCCCCACATTTAGCTCTAGAATGACATCCTGGTATTGTTAGTGGGACGCTGTGAATACACCTGCCAGACGTTTAGGGCCAGCATTTTACCTGCTCGCACCAACCATTGCCGCACGTTAAACTGAGTTCTAGATATCTGGCCATCAAGCTGAAAATAAAATATTAATGTGTTCATCTCACAGCTAAAAAACTTCATCTCGAAAAGTGTCAGAAATATATTTGTGATCTTTAATGAAGAAATCCTACTGTCTCGAAGCATTATTCCCTAAACTGTGCATTTTATAGACGTAAACCAGAATGGCGAGCTTGGGGTTAAAACAGCGGAGCTGTGCAAAATATCTGTGTTTAGCGTCAGTTTTCATTCTCTGAAATACAGTGTGTTTAGTGATAACCGTGACAGCCTATGGGATGCAAGGTGGGAAACAAAAATAAATACAAATATTTTGGTAAATTTTGGCCAAAAATGATGAAATGTATCTATATACTCATTTTAGGGATTTTATTACCGGATATCTCAGGACATCTCCCTGGCAGACAAATAACAAGGAGTATGCGCCATGTCTGTAGAGAAGTTACAGGTCAAAGTTCTAGACGGCAGGAACACTCCACCCGTTTCCATGGTGACAGTTATTCAACTATTGCCCCAAATCCCTCTCTTTTTGCCACCCCTCAGGCTGTTCTACCTCCACCTGAAACATTCAGCCAGAATTCGTACCCTCACTTACCTCGGAGAGGTTTTTTTCGGTGTGCAGAGAAGTCCTTGTCTTTTCCAGCTCGGCCAACAAGCAATTAAAGTGTTAGAGTGAAATTGCTTTGTAGAAGTTAGGAATGAGGAGTTCGGGTTAAATATTTACACAGTTCTGATCTATGTACAAAGAGATTGGCATCTCGCTCTGTGAGTGTGAGAACTGATTCCAATCGGCGGCCGTTTGCCTTTCGGTTTCTATTGTTTAGATCAATCTTTGGTTTTTTTCTCAGAAGTAGTTTTTATAAAAGCAGACATTACATGCACAAAGGTTAGCACCGCTTAAAGGACACGTTGTAAATATTGAATTACAATACATTTATAGTATATATATATATGTACACACACAGCACACAGCACACAGCACACACACACACACACACACAATACACAGGAAAATGAAATGTAAAATCCAAGACTTAGAGCAGAATAATGTGGGTTTAGTTATAGTACATGCAGAAGTGGAAGTAAAGTAGAGAGCCCCCCCCCCCCATCTCAAGGAGGGTAAACAAAAATAGATCCCCATCTGTTGTATAACTCCCACAATACTTTCTCAGCCAGGGGTCTACCATTTGCCCATCCTTGCTGGGTTGTATTTGTGAGCAGTGTTTGTGTGTTCAAATGTAAATATGTTTTTGTATGGAGTATGTGTGTGCATGTAGGGGTGTATTTGTATGGAGTATGTGTGTGCATGTAGGGGTATATAGAGTATGGAGTATGTGTGTGCATGTAGGGGTGTATTTGTATGGAATATGTGTGTGCATGTAGGGGTATATGGAGTATGGAGTATGTGTGTGCATGTCGGGGTATATGGAGTATGGAGTATGTGTGTGCATGTAGGGGTGTATTTGTATGGAATATGTGTGTGCATGTAGGGGTATATGGAGTATGGAGTATGTGTGTGCATGTCGGGGTATATGGAGTATGGAGTATGTGTGTGCATGTAGGGGTATATGGAGTATGGAGTATGTGTGTGCATGTAGGGGTGTATTTGTATGGAGTATGTGTGTGCATGTAGGGGTATATGGAGTATGGAGTATGTGTGTGCATGTAGGGGTATATGGAGTATGGAGTATGTGTGTGCATGTAGGGGTGTATTTGTATGGAATATGTGTGTGCATGTAGGGGTATATGGAGTATGTGTGTGCATGTAGGGGTATATGGAGTATGGAGTATGTGTGTGCATGTAGGGGTATATTTGTATGGAATATGTGTGTGCATGTAGGGGTATATAGAGTATGGAGTATGTGTGTGCATGTAGGGGTGTATTTGTATGGAGTATGTGTGCATGTAGGTGTGTATTTGTATGGAGTATGTGTGTGCATTTAGGGGTGTATTTGTATGGAGTATGTGTGTGCATGTAGGGGTGTATTTGTATGGAGTATGTGTGTGCATGTAGGGGTATATGTTGTATGGAGTATGTGTGTGCATGTAGGGATGTATTTGTATGGAGTATGTGTGTGGATGTAGGGGTGTATTTGTATGGAGTATGTGTGTGCATGTAGGGGTATATTTTGTATGGAGTATGTGTGTGCATGTAGGGGTATATGGAGTATAGAGTATGTGTGTGCATGTAGGGGTATATTTGTATGGAGTATGTGTGTGCATGTAGGGGTATATTTGTATGGAGTATGTGTGTGCATGTAGGGGTATATTTGTATGGAGTATGTGTGTGCATGTAGGGGTATATGGAGTATGGAGTATGTGTGTGCATTTAGGGGTATATTTGTATGGAATATGTGTGTGCATGTAGGGGTATATGGAGTATGGAGTATGTGTGTGCATTTAGGGGTATATTTGTATGGAATATGTGTGTGCATTTAGGGGTGTATTTGTATGGAGTATGTGTGTGCATGTAGGGGTGTATTTGTATGGAGTATGTGTGTGCATGTAGGGGTGTATTTGTATGGAGTATGTGTGTGCATGTAGGGGTATATGTTGTATGGAGTATGTGTGTGCATGTAGGGATGTATTTGTATGGAGTATGTGTGTGGATGTAGGGGTGTATTTGTATGGAGTATGTGTGTGCATGTAGGGGTATATTTTGTATGGAGTATGTGTGTGCATGTAGGGGTATATTTGTATGGAGTAGGTGTGTGCATGTAGGGGTATATTTGTATGGAGTATGTGTGTGCATGTAGGGGTATATGGAATATGGAGTATGTGTGTGCATGTAGGGGTATATTTGTATGGAGTATGTGTGTGCATGTAGGGGTGTATTTGTATGGAGTATGTGTGTGCATGTAGGGGTGTATTTTCTATGGAGTATGTGTGTGCATGTAGGGTATATTTTGTATGGAGTATGTGTGTGCATGTAGGGGTATATGGAGTATGGAGTATGTGTGTGCATGTAGGGGTGTATTTGTATGGAGTATGTGTGTGCATGTAGGGGTGTATTTTGTATGGAGTATGTGTGTGCATGTAGGGGTATATTTTGTATGGAGTATGTGTGTGCATGTAGGGGTGTATTTGTATGGAGTATGTGTGTGCATGTAGGCGTGTATTTGTGTTGTTGTGTTGTGTGTTTTCATTTGAATGCAGTGTGACTTACTTGTGTGTAGTGCTTTTCTTTCAATGTAGGGGTGTGCCTGTATGAAGTGTTGATATTTATATGCAGGGGTGTATATGTTTGTAGTGTTGGAGTTTGAATGCTGAGAAACAGACACATGCAGATACACAGACACAGATACACACACTGACACACAACAATATATAAACACAGACACACATACAGATACACACACACATACACTAATACAAATACACAGACACTCACACATGTACAAATACACAGATGCACAGACACACAGTAATACACATACACATACATGTAGATACACAGACACGCACAATGACACACACGCAGATACACCAGTGACACTCATTCAAATACTGACACACATACAGATACAGACACACACAGATATACAGGGGCCCACATTGATACACAGATACACACACACACAGACACACACAGATACACACACAGACACACATATACACATACAGACAGACAGATAATCCAGACGGGCACACAGATTCACGTACAGACATTCATGCAAAATGAACATATTTTAACTTAGGGTGTGGCTGAGGGTGAGGGTGCCCATCAAAAGGTGCACATACACTCACTCACTAACTGACACACACTAACAGACAAACACACACTCACTAACAGACAGACACACACTAACAGACACACACACACACTCACTCACTCACATTAACATACTCACTTTGCGGCGCGTGAGGGAGCTGAGCAGATCGCTCAGGGGAGTGCTCCCTTGCCAGCGCCGCCTGACCGACCGGATTGTTAGTTAACTGCAATGCTAACAAGACATTTGCCCTGGGCATTTGGGGCCCGGTCTCGCGGCTTATACATCCCTGGTCATTGTCTTGGGGCCCCAGGTCAGCTCGGGGCCCCAAGCAATTGCTTGGTTTGCTTGCCTTGTCGCGACGGGCCTGCACCTGGAAACACTTTTGCCAATGGATGACCCTAAATGCAGGGGCCACTCGATGGGCCCTTTTAGAGTGCAGGCCCCAGTGCAGCCATATCAGCGGTAATTCCACCTCTATGATCATATATTGCATAAGTCTGCCACAACGTCAATGTACCCCATTCTTGGCAGGTCCTACTCTAACAGCCTAATGTCTGCTCTTATGAGAGTAACCCACTTAGTAAATGTTCCTCCTGGAACTCTCTGCAAGTCAAGGCTAAATAGGGCCCTGGATTGAGGCATCTGAGACAGGGAGAGGGACAAACCGAAGGAATTAGGTCAGCACCCTGAAAATCTATGTGTAATAATTTAGGGTAACCTCAAACCTTAATCCATCTCTGTTTATGTGTACGTAAAGCTTGCACTTACTTGTACATACAAACTTCACGAGAGAGAGAGAGCTGCTGTACGCAGGCACGGGTGAGTAAACCTTGAAATTAAATAGTAGACAATAAAGGAAATATAATTCATCCTTTGTTTACAAATAAATTATTTGCATAAGCTACACATGATTTTGATCATTATTTATTTTTTGGAGCAATGCATTGTCCAAGCCATAATTGTGAGAAATTATTGGGTTTCTCTCTTTTTGCTCGCAATGTCCTCACTCACTGCATGAGAAATGTGTGGGTTTTGTAAGGTGCGGAGAATTAAACACGTTCAGCTATTCAATAAAGTGAGAATTCAAGGTGAATTTTACATTTAAGGGCAATGTAGCCAAAGGGCAGCTTTCTAAGCCAGCTATGAGTTGAGTTTGAAATTTACTTTGAATTCTCGTTGAATTCTCCCTTTAATAAATAAACCGGTTTATGTGAATTTTTCGAGTTTCTGTATTTGCATGGTTGCCTTCTCTTGTACTCTGATGTTATTTAGTAAATTGCTACCAATGACCTGTACCCAGATTTAATCAAGTTTGTTACCTGCCCTGACTTTTCTACCATATCTAAAAATAAATCTGTGCAGTCTTCATGTAAACCAATCTTATCCTGATGATAAGATGCCTACCGCCGATCACTAGAATCAGTTCCAGACATCTCCTGGCCCCTCGGATAGGACTGATGATACATTGTCTACCCCTGGTAACTAGTTTCACACATCTTCCAAACCATGCTGGACTAGGATGATAAGATGACTACCGCTGATCACTAGAATCAGTTCCAGACATCTCCCAGACCCTCTGACTGGGCTTGACTATGATGATACAATATCTACCCAGGATCACTAGAATCAGTTCCAGACATCTCCCAGGCCCTCAGATAGGACTGGACTATGATGATACCTTACCTACCCTGGATCACTAGTATCCATTCCAAACATCTATAAAAAAACCCTCGGACAGGACTGATGATACATTGTCTACCCCTGGTAACTGGTTTCAGACATCTTTCAAACTCACAGACCATACTGTACTAGGATGATAAGATGCCTACCGACGATCACTAGAATCAGTTCCAGACATCTCCCAGACCCTCAGACAGGACTGGACTTTAATGATACCCTATCTACCCTGGATCCCTAGTATCTGTTCCTAACATCTCCCAAACCCTCAGACAGGACTGGACTATGATGATATGCAAAATATCAAACAGAA